CCCGTAATTGACATTGTTAACTGATTTGTTATACTACGTCTCTTTGAGGTGTCGCTCTGTCTCATGTTACCCCTTATGGGTTTTGTCAATGGATTTGTTGTAATAAAACATTGATCAGACTAGTGACCAAATGTGATGTTGTTATTTCAAATTCAATGAAATGTACACCACTTTATATGAAGCACAGTAACCTTTTCCTGCTGGGATATATTTTATAAAATATTTGGTCTCTAATTGCTCAATTTGAGCTTCACCATTACTACAGGTAAAAGACACATTACTCCAAACGATCTCTTTGTTTCAGTTGATATGATAAGATCATTTTCATCAATAAATATGTAGTACTTACAACAACAAATATCGCATGTTTATCTTAGGTCATGCCAATGTCTTTTAATGCATTTAAATATAAATGACAAAACCATTTCCGTAATCATTAGAAATCTCTACTAAAGTTGGTTGGTTGGTTGGTTTGTTGTTTAACGCAGTTCTCAGCAATATTCCAGCTATATAACGGCGATCTGTAAATAATCGAGTCTGGACCAGACAATCCAGTCATTAATATCATGAGCATCGATCCACGCAATTGGGATCGATGACATGCATCAACCAAGTCAGCGAGCCTGACCACCCGATCCCGTTAGTCGCCTTTTACGACAAGCATAGTCACCCTTTACGGCAAGCATGGGTTGCTAAAGACCTATTCTACCCCGGGATCTTCACGGGTCCTCTACTAAAGTCCACTGTACGATTCCGACTATATTTTCTGACGATGACATTAGGATAGGAGGCTAGCATTTTTTTTAATCGTACCCACTGTAATGCGGTTCTCACCATTACTAAATGGAACAACAGAATTATGTCGCTAGTTAACTTTGATTACAGCAGAAAATTATTCGTAAACATCAATTTCGATGAGTGGGACCATAGTCGTAAAAATGACAAGACGCCATTAAACTTTCACAAAGGGTATGGATGGTCCAGTCTGAGGAATTGGGATTGTTGGATTCGAATCCCATATAAAACCCGGTTATGTTTCTACATTTGTCAGCACCATTCTCGAACGTACAGCGTGTATACCAAACCAGGTCTCGACCTCCTGCTTCCCCGTATGAAAGGGAGCTCCCCTTTCAAGCAATCATGGTTTAAACTGCATGTTTAATCATAAGAGTATTGAGTAGAGGATTTTGCGTTACTGATTAACGTTCGATAGTCAAGATGATTGATGATGCTTGGCGTTGTCTTCATTATGTTATATTTCTCAATCCTTAATTAGCACACTCACACTCACTCACAGTCAATTCCAGAACGGCTTCAAGTTCCTCGCCGATGCAGTCGAAGAGATGTGTGTGCGTGCACTCGTCGGTGCAGCTGTCAGCATTACAATACTGGGAAACATACTCGGTGAGTACTTCACTTTCAAGTTGCTTGTGAAAGAGGTCAATCTTTAAATTGTGATAAAATCTGTTGTATTATTGATATAACAAAACCTTTATGTACCTAAGCTACTTGTTTCATTTTCGGTCATTTTATGAGTGAGGGACTCATAAGGGGTAAGGGGTCATAATTCAATGTGAACTGAAATATACCACTAAAAGTGTGCTAAGGATCACCACTTTAAAAGGTAATACGTTAAATTGAAATAGCCAAAGGCATTATTGCATGTAGACATGTTTAATGAACGAAAGTCCGTTGTCATGTGCCCCACAATGCCAACAAACATGTGACCACTAATCAATCAGATCATACATCAAAATGAAAGTATCTGACCAAAACTGAAACGTTAAAAATGTCATCTCTGTAGCGCACACCTGTCATCGTGCCTCGCTGTAGGACATGGCGATCGGGTCTTCCAGCTCTACTGATCCCCACGTAAATCATGATTAAGCCCCTTTCATGGCTGTCATGTTTGGCCACGTTGGAATCCTGAAATCTCTCCCCTTGTCTACGCCACACTGGGGCACTGTGATGTCGAGACAGTATTTTGATTCATCAGTAAAAAGTACTGAAGTCCTGGCCTGTCCAATTGGCGAGGTCTTCAGCCAAATCTGCCTGACTGTGATGTCGGGTCGGTGGAATGCAAATGCATGTGACCGGAGACCAACCTCACGTAGAATCGTTAACGATGTCATTTCTGAGTGTGATGGCAGTCACGAAGTGATGATGTCTTGCTTCAATCCGGCTGTGTGGTGGAACGCTGAAACCATTTGGCAAGTCAGGTAGCTTGATGCCGTTTTAAATGGTAATTTATATTAGTTTAAAAAAGAAAGTCGCGTCTGAAATGAAATGTGTTTTCTCTGTGTGTCTTTAATGGGCAGTGAGTGAGGTAAATATATAAAGTTACACTGGCAATGTTCCAGCCATGTAGTGACTAGAACACAGTTACACATTAAAAATAACAACATTTAAACAATATATGAAACCTGTCGACAATGGGAAGTAAAACAACTAACGTATCAAAAAGATTTATACTTAAAACTAGTGTGAAGCCATAAGAAGATATGACTATTCATAAGAATACTTTATAAACACGGGCTATAGATCACCAGCATCCAGGGTTAGGCAATCATATCAGGGACTATGGAGCTTAACAGCACTACCTGGGAATGGAAATAAGCAAACGTTTCACAATTACGCGTGTAAAGAAGAAACAATTGCTGGAGAGAATATGAATTTAGATTTGTTTAAACAAATAAGAATCCACATATCTCTATACATAGATTTGGTGGGGAAGTAACACACATTTACTGCACACCTGATCACTTGATGAGTGCAAGCAGGACAAAAAGGCCATGCGAAATCAATATCTCGTGTGTCAAGTAATGCCTGGTACTTGCCCTTGGACGAAATAAGTATACGGATAACTGTTGGGGCATGTGGTGCCTGTGGTGCATGTGCAAGCTGTTGCATTGACTGGTGCGGGTTGATGTTGTTGTGCATAACGATTTCACACGTCCCGTAGGTGTTATATAAAATTCTAATCCGGCGATTTAGAGAGCCACGGGAGGTAATGTGCAGTATGGCTGCATTTATGTCATATGATATTTCTGAACCGAAGCAAATATCCTCAGTGTCAGACTTCACATGATGAAAATCATAGTGTTTGTCGTCAAATCTGACTGACATAAATGTCAGCGTTAACGTCAGTACCTGTTATGACCACCATTGGCCTGTGTCACAGTTCTGCAACGCCTACTCACTGACTGAGTCGCTGAATTCGATCCTGTTGTATTCGTGCCCATTAATCCTGGAAGACCTGGCGTTTGAGGCGGCAGTTGACCCCACAGATGTTCAATTTGGTTTACATCAGGCAAATTTGATGGCAATGGATGCACAGTTAGGTTCTGACTCTGTAGGGAATCCATAGTAACACGTGCAACATGTGGTCGGGCGTTGTTCTGAAAAATATCTCGTTGAGGGCCGACAACAGGAAGCAGGTGACGTTGGAGAATATCATCTCGGTAACGTAATGCTGTCATCTTGCTTTGTCCATGTCAGGCTGGTTCTGCGGGTGTATGATGTGGCTGCCCACATCATGACACTATCCACTTCAATAACACAATTTTGAGCAAAACGTTCATTTCTTCGTCTGAAGACACGGGTTCGCCCATTCCGACGTTGCAGGACAAAACGACTCGCCATTACTGAACCAAACGCTACGCCAATGTCTCAGATTCCATACCAGGACTTTCACACACCAACGAACGCGTAAGGGTCGGTACACGTTGTAGAATAGCACCTCAATACTGCATTCGGACTCGAAGTCCAAACTCACGATAACGATTACCTACGATATCATTTGTGCCGACACCATAAGCAGACCAGGGCCCACTTGCACAAAGCGATCTTAGTTCTAAGATGATCGTAACTCCCATGCTTTAACATAGGCTTACAATAGTCTTAGCGCTAAGATCGCTTTGTGCAAGTGGGCCCAGGCACATTGGAGGCGGTATCTATCGCTGTAACGGTTCGATGACGTAGGTGGAAGGCCTGGATGAACCTGTCGTGAGCTGCAGTCGTGATCCTTGGTCTGTCAGATCTTGGGCGATCTCTTGTAGACCCATACCGCTTGTTATTTGTCCCAAAGATATTGTGCTGTAACGAGCACGACTGAGTTTTTCCAGCCTCTTCACGTCCGAGGACGTTACTTCGAGTTGCAGGGTCTAGTCGTGGCATATCGAAACGTATTCACCGTTCAAACAACAGTAGACATTTAACCGAAAGAATACCACCCTTTTATACCCAACACCCCCTACCTCTATTTGTTTCATAAAGTATGCTAACTGTCTACTAACTGACAAAAAGTTGTGAATCTCAAATATCAACAATTCGTGGACAACCGATCCACTGGGTAGCCTGTAAACATCCAAATCCTAAAATATGTTAACACTTTCCTCAGAATAGGAATGCATTTTAACTCCCAAAATCTCAAGCACAGTTGTACCCAATCTTTATGACTGATATGCTGATTGACTGTGGTTCATTAAGTTAATATCAAACGTCAACGCCAGAGAATTATAGAATACTAAACGAGCTCCCGTGTAGTACCAATTTTATGAAACTCGTGAATAGTTCTGGTATCTGACGAGCTCTTTCGCTCGTCAGATACCAGAACTATTCACGAGTTTCATAAAATTGGTACTACACGGGAGCGAGTTTAGTATTTTATTTATTACTCGTCATTTGTACCTACGTAAAAATCAGCTGATTGACTCCGTACGTCGCATCCCGAGTTCAAATCAGGTCATGCGTATGAATACAAAGTCATGTAAATAGTCATCGTCAAGTGCATCTATAATATCAATATTTTAGCAATTCCAATGGAGAAAACACCCGAACGCTCTTTTTTTCCACAATAAATCTACTTTAATGAACTTCCTGCGAAACTTCGAAACTGCGGTAATGTTTCGAAAACAATAACAAAACAAGTTTAATCGTTCGTTGACAAGGCCAAGGTCACAATGTCACATGACCGCAGGCAGAGGAATTCACCCGATTACAGTCTGTTTTCAAACTTTCTATCACTGGCGATTCATGTCTGATGACATGTCACTGCTATGGTTTAGAAAATTTACATTTATCACAGAATTGGTGATTGTACCGGCAAAGATAGAGCTGAGTGTGCGATACTGGCTAGCTGTCACATTGAAAGTTTGGGATGGAGCAGAGACGGTCGGCGGTTGGCAAGTCGGAACACAGCAGTGATTGCGAAGTGCAAGAATCACTAGGCCTGTCGATCAATGTACTGATGTGTTTGTGCTGCTCTTCAGAAATTTGTGAATAGTTATTGACACTCTGCACATTTCTATCGCCACTGATTTGCATTATCTGAGTAGGTGGAACATTTTTCTCAGAAAGAGTTTGGACCAGATACTTTCGGGCGGAATGATTCGTCAACCGTTTGGTAGATTCAAGTTTTGCATTCGCTGCCATGCGTTTCATTATGGACCCAAGCTTGTTGATGCCAACAGGTTGTCGCTTAAACCAAGGATGTGTCGGAGCGGGAGCAGTTTTAGAATTTGTTGCCAAGTAGAAAGGCGCGTCATGGCCACTGAAACCATTTGGTCTAAGGTTAGCATAGCGCTTATACGCAAGGACGGGGCAGCGATTGTCACCTGTTACCCAAGCTTTCGGCGTGACAGTCCGAACATCCCGGATGTTTACACCAGTGCGTGTTTTGGTTTGCCGCTCAGCAAACTGCAGGTACTCCATTTCATTTACATCTTAATTCAACATCACGTCTCCCCAGTGCATATTTCTATGGGGAGTAACGCTACGCAGTCCAAAGTGGGTCGTGTTGTGCCACCAAAGTGTATTCAAAATGGACTCGGGAGTTTCGAGACCTAATTCCCCGGATTTCCATAATGTGTCAATGTCGTTCTGACTTAATGACTGCGCACGCATAGGTAAGTTTCCGAGACCTTCTTGTTTTAGAATTTTTTGTTTGGTTTTCAGTACCTCCCTGACGTGTGTAAACTCTAAATCGTGCATAATTGATTTCCCGTAAAATTTTGTTTTGAGGTGCCTGTCTATACTGGCAATCATCCCCCACAAACTTGTTGGCTCATAATCGGACCCTTCTCCCTTTTTGACGTTCATAAAGAATTTGCATAAAAGTTTACAAAGTTCATGGGCAGGAATGGCTTCTAGTTGTCTGAAGTCATTCTGCTCGTGCATGAATCTAGTGATGATTTTCATGTCATACGCAGTCTTCCTGGAAGTGTTGACATTCTGATTTGTTGCAATGAAATTCGCAATTTCGGAAACGTCACAGTAGGTTGGCGGAACAGGTATTTCATCCCCCTTTAGAGGCACAGGCACAATATCAAAAAAGTCATCTTTGAATAGATCATTAAGATCGAACAAACTGTTGTCATTATCAACAAAAGTGGGTGGGGGTAACATGGCCGAAACTGTCTCCGGAATTCGTTGCGTTCGATAGCGAGGTACCTGTTTCATGGAACCATCATCCAGTTTAACGTTGAACATGCTGTATGTCCCTAAAGGTTGAACAACCGATAGCACCCGTCCCTTCAGCTGACCATCAATTTTGACACAATCGTTTACTTTTATAGCTTCAGTTGCCATTGTGATAGGATTATTCACTTGACGATAGATTCATCGTCTGCTATATGTACTTTAATTTTCATGTCGTTTATTATTTCTAATTAATGAATATTTTCTCATCCATATATTTAGAACATATTATTTTTTCGATTTCATGATAATTCATCTGAAGAAAAAGTATTTGTAGTCACGCCCTGGGGAGAATCGGTACATTTTGACAGTAGCCATTTTGTTTGGTCATGTGATGTATCATGTGGCCGGCCAAAAATAGTTCCGTGTGCACGTGATGTTATTAAACAATGTGTAATACCGCTGTATGTTTATTGAACGGGTGATCTCTTCACGGATGAGTAATAATAGCATGTCTCCGATGTAGATTCAATTGGGGCAAAAGGCAAAACACTGGTGATAATTATAAAAATGGATCACTGAAAGTCAGCGATAACACCAGGTGTTCGCGATGATGATAAGCAGGTCCTGGCCTACAGGTAGCACCCGCCACTCTCACAATTTGCATAATGAATGAAAACAATGAATACTACAATGAATTAATTTATTTAAACCTTTTTGATATATTCACAACCTTGTTTGTTGTTTTCTTGTTCAACGCCGCACTCAGCAATATTCCAGCTATATGACGGCGGTCTGCATAAATAATCGAGTCTGGACCAGACAATCCAGTGCTTGACATCATGAGTATCGATCCACGCAATTGGGATCGATGACATGCATCAACCAAGTCAGCGAGCCTGACCACCCGATCCCGTTAGACGCCTCTTACGACAAGCATAGTAGCCTTTTACGGCAAGCATGGGTTGCTGAAGACCTATTCTACCCCGGATCTTCACAACCTTGATGCAGATCTCCAGCAATGTGTTATTGTAAGAGAAGAATAAATGGTGGTCAGGCTCGTTGACTTGGCTGATTGCATTTATCGTATGCCAATTGCATCGCTCATGATATCAGTCATTGGATTGTCTGGTCTCAGGCTAACATATAGTCCCTGAAGTAAAGTTAAGTATTAGGTTAAATAAATATATTTCTAAAAGTAAACCCTCAAGACTCTTAACTTTAGGTTTAAACCATTGGACAAGAAGTACCAAATGTCCAGAAATCTATTTTAAGAGTATATGCCCCCGTCAATGTAAAGCACACATTGAAACAATTGATTTTGCAGAACTTCAACAAAGATTTCTTGGTTATTGATATCGCATTTGAAATAATTCTGACATACCGTCCAAAGTTGCTCAATAACTTTGAACGAAAAGTTTTCAAGATACCCTTTCTTTGTGAGGTTACCATGAACTGTTTTCATTACTTAAAATGAGTAAGCGAGTCAGGTATAACGCCGCTGTTAGCAATATTCCAGCAATATCACGACAGGGGACACCACAAATGGTCTTCACACATTGTACGCATGTCGGGAATCGAACCCGGGTCTTCGGCGCGACGAGCGAACGCTTTAACTACTAGGCTACCCGACCGACCCCATTACTTAAAGATTCAATTAGGAGGTATTATCGTTCTTGTAACGACAAGCAAAATAAATCTCCTTTTGTAACTTCACACAGTGTAATTCCCACATTTGATGCAAACAGGAGCTGTCGACTTAGGGAAAAAATACAATAAACGAGGATTCAGATCCTGAGACAAGACTAACCAAACGTCCCCATGCAAGTCTGTAGTAGTTAGGCAAGTCTGTATTTCTTCAGTACTGAAAATGAAAAGACATATGCATTCTCTGGACTCCTTTATATTATATATTACAAGTCGATTTAAAAATTTATGAATCGTCAAGTGTTTTCATTTCGGAGACGTAATGTTAGGCTAGTAAATATAGTTTAGATTGCTTATGTAATCTCATCACTAATTTCTTAAGATACAAAAGTATTATTCTAAATGCATCTGAAATAAGACTTAAACTCCCAATGCATTTCAATATGTATATTAAAAGAAAATTTTACAAATTAGAAATCTTGAAATAATTTCATTTCAGAAACTATATGTGAGTCCATTAGAAAGCGTATGATCTGATTCCCTATTCTGATTTACTGATAATATATCAGGTCATATGTTTACACATTGTACTGTGCGTCTGGCAAATAGTTTATCCCCAGCTTTGATTCTTTGTCAATAACAGCATAATAGTCCATCATTAAAATTACTTTTACCTTAGAATATACAGGTTATTATTTTGCAAACATGGCGTTAAGGGTTTTTTTATTAGAAAGAAAAAGAATGCTGCATAGCTCTTATGGTGTGGTACATTATACACTTCCAGCGTGTTATTCGGGTAAGAATGAAGGTTCACAGCAACCTATGCTTGTCTTAAGAGGCGACCAAATGGATCGGCCGGTCAGGGTCAGTGACTTGGTGGATTGCATGTAGATCACTAGATTGTCTGGTTCAGACCGCCGACAAATAGCTGAAATAATCCTGAGGTATGTGTTAAACAACAACAATCAATCTATTTTCATCAATCTATGATAATCTATTATGGATTAGTTTTGTTCTTAGTATATTTGGATTAGTTTTTTTGTTCTTAGTATATTTGGATTAGTTTTGTTCTTAGTATATTTGTTATTATTCACGTAACAACAATTAGTGTCTCATCAAGGTAAAGCTTCTCCCAACATCAGCCTGAAGTTTGCAAGTTCCATTGTTAACATTTTCACATGTGTACTCTCAATTTTATGGGTGGGGGTGAGGGGTTCAATAGGATGGGGGTAATTGTTTGATATGCTCTGGGGTCTGTAAGAGAGAATACGTTTGGTATAGACGCGATTATTTACAGACCACCGTCAAATAGCTGGAGTATTGCTTAGTGTGCCGTTTAACAACGAACAAAATGCCTGCTAAAAGCAGAGTCGATTGAACGATTCTGACGATATCCTGAGCATATGTTGATGAATCACTATTAAGTAGTGATGATACCAGGTTCTCCCGAAAAGGTGAGCGCACCCTGCCCCACGGTGACACAAGCAATTAAATTGTTCACCAGAAAAATCACGGGAACATATGGTACACGTCAAAACTGGGAAATGCATCGAACATAAATTTTGTCACTGATGCAATAGTATAAAGCAATTATTTGTAATTTGGAAAAAAAACACTCAATGTAAAATGTATACATAACATTCAATTCAAGGTGGACCTTGTAGACGGACAGTGATTCAAACAGTCATTCATTCCTGACCAACTCGTGTTATTCCGGGACAAGCCGAATAGCGACTCGTGCCCCTCTCATGACCATTTTTGCGACCGGGTTCCGTCTTAGCGCAAACAGGCATACCTAAAACAATTGTCAACTCGTTGCGTAATGGTTCACATATATTTCCCCACATAATTTAAATTGAAATTTAAAGCACATCTGGACATGCGGAATTATACAGTATGATTGAACACATTTAACTGTGTTTTTGGTATATATATTTAAATGCAAGACATGTGTAAAATCACAAATTATTTCTGTGGGATTCTTTGACGAAGAACTTGAAATCATACGCGCATTCTGACTGGTTTGTCGTATTTTCGCACATAACATTCATCGATAGGGGGACGAGTCTTCTTGCAGGTTACGGAAAGGGGCGAGTGGTGACGAATAAACATTCATCGATAGGGGGACGAGTCGTCTTGCAGGTTTCGGAAAGGGGCGAGTGGTGACGAATCACACTCATTATGTGGTCATAACAGGATCAGTAGTACGCCTAGGCTTATAACAGTTGTGTACATTTATCAAAAACACGTGGCCTTTTACAAGCTGCATATGTCTCAAGTGACCAGACACCAGTGATCTGCAAATCCTTCTAGCATTTAGATAATATCATCCTCATGGACAGTTTGTTAAAATTGTATATTAGACTCTACCTTCAAATCGTTTTCATAGTCGTTCACTATTAATGTCCAGATTGATATTACGCCACACCTGTCATTTGTTTTGATTATTATTCAATACAGATTTAATGAATGTACACAATTGATGTGGTTAAACAGGACTGAAGTACTTATGTGGACCCGGGATTGAATAGGTATTCTTACTACATTTAGGGGCGGTCGGGTAGCCTAGTGGTTAAAGCGTTCGCGCGTAACGCTGAAGACCTGGGTTCGATTCCCGACATAGGTACAATGTGTGAAGCCCATTCCTGGTGTCCCCCGCCGTGGTGTTGCTGGAATATTGCTAAAAGCGGCGTAAAACCATACTCATTCACTCACTTACCATATTTGATCAGATTGTCAGACTTAACGACTCGTTTGATTGGCATCGTCTCCCAACAGCATGCAGCGTTGCAAGTGACATCTTGTCCGTCGTGATACAGTTGGACTGGGGCTAAATTGTACT